TGGGGAGGGGGGCAAGAGGGAGGGGCAGAGGGAGGAGGAGACGTAGACTCTTCACTGAGCAAGGAGCCATATGGCTCCTGTCCCAGGACCCTGAGACCATGACTTGAGCCAAGGTCAGATGCTCAACGAACTAAGCCACCCAAGCGCCCAAATGTTAGCATTTGTTACATGTGACAGATAATTGTAGGGACACAGCAATGGATACATTTCTTTCCCTCAGGAATCACATCATGGTGGGATTTAAAGACAGTATAGTAATAAATCAGTGTGTAATGTAGTGTTAGGGAGTGGCGAGAATTAAAGCTGGGGATGTGGAGAGAGATGGGATTTGCTACTTCATGCAAGGTAGTCAGGGAAGGCTACTTGGGAGGTGGCCTCTCAACAAAGACTTGAAGATAGCGGGGGAGAGCTAGCGAGGAAGATACTTGATGCGGAAGAATGGTTCCACCATAGCACTCCAACGGCCTTGCACGTCTCTACATAGGCCACGTAGACAGGCTGACCTAAGTATTGGCAGAATGCCCTGTGATCCTCAGAACAGAGCACAAGAGGCTTGTGAGGCCATTCCTCATTCCTTGTCTACCAAGGAGGCCATCATGAGGCGGTTTTGCATCACCAATGGATCTGGTCAGGTATGAGGCTTTCTGTCCCTTTCCTCCCCTGACTTATGGCTGTAGAACTGCCTAGCATGGCATTAGTTCCTTGGCTACAGGGTGTCCTACCATCTGTGCTGCAGTGGTCTGGTCCCTTTCGTTTTGGTGTTACCCAGCATGTGGGACATGGGCTAGCATCTGTGGCTAGTCCTGCTTTTGCTCTCTATACATAATCTCTCAATCAAATGAGGGCTTGTTTCCTTACTGGCCATATCTGTCAGTATAGCCTTGCCTTGACATCTGGGAGAGGAGAATTATAGGCAGAAGGAAAAGCAAGCAAGTGAAAAGGCCCCAAGGTGGGAGCTTGTTTGTTGTGTGTGTGAGGAATGGCAAGAAGGTCAGTGTGGCAGGAGCAGGGTGAGCAAGGGTGCCAGTGGCAGGAGGCAAGGTTGGAGAAGTCACAGAGGCCTGGTCCTAGAAGGCCTCACTGGCCACAAGGAGGACTTTGACCTTTTCTCTGAGAGATGGAGGCTGGGCAGGGTTGTGAGCAGAGGAGTTCTGAGAGTTGGGTTGACTTGGGTTGTGACAGGATCCTCTGGCTGCTATGAGAGCAGACAGGGAGGCCTGGGGGCAGAAGCTGTGAGAAGGCCACTGCAGGAGTTGAAGCCAACAATGGTGGTGGTAGCAGCAGTGGACAGGAACAGGAGAGGTTGCATTTTGGATAAATTCTGAAGGTGGAACCAACGGAATTTGCTGACAGGTCAAACGAGTTGTGGGATGAAAGTACTAATGAAGTTATGAATATACACTGGAGGAACTTACACAAGGTAATTTGGGAGTCAGTGTTAAACAATGTAATGGTTAAGAGCAAGGATTCCCAGAGCCGGGTGGCCTTGGTGCAAACCCGGCCCCAGCATTTATTGACTGACTTTGGGCAGGTCACTTCAGCTCTTTCCCATTTCCTCATCTCTAACATGGCATAACAGTACCAATTTCACAGGGTTGCAGTGAGCATTGAAGGTTTCCTAGGTCTGTAAAGTGCTTAGGACAGTACCTGGCACAGAGCACTTACTAATAATATCACCATTGGATGAATAGAAGTATTTGCTGAGAACGCACAGGAGAGAACGTTCCAGAGCCCAAAAACAGTTTGTGCAGTTTTCAGGGATGTATGAGAAAGCCAGCATGGCTAGAACCTAACCTGATTAAGAGCAACAAGTGGCAAAATTGAAGAGGAGGCCAGAGAGCTTCTCCTCTCAGTAGCTGGGAGCCATTTTGGATTTCTGGGTGGACCTGCCAGTGCTAGAGGCCAAAGAGGAGTGGAATTGATTTGAGATTTGATGCTGGCGATGTACAGAGAGAGAAGAGAGATGGAGCACTGTTGTCAACACTGCTGGCTGGATACCAGGAGTTGGTGGTTTCTGGCGTCCAGGATGATAAAATGAGTCTAGTCCGACTCCTTCCATGAGTCCAGATGCTAGTTCTTAGGTCTTCTACTTCTGTGACCATAGGTGGTAAACCCCTCCAGGGTTCAGTTTCCTCATCTTCACAGCAGGGCTACGTGTCACACCTACCTCATTAGGGTGGTTTGTGACCATTCACAGAAGATGGATGTAGTGAGAGCTTGGTAAATTCAGGCTGTCACCGAAAGCAGGCGAGGCTGATCTCAGGAAAGCATTGGTGCCTTAACATTTGAAAAGCAGTGAGATACAGTCTAGTGTATTGGCAGAAAAAATTGGGAAGGATCAAGGACTGTGCCCATTTATCTAAATTGCTAGGGTCAGGGATCCCTGGGTGGCGCAGCGGTTTGGCGCCTGCGTTTGGCCCAGGGCGCGATCCTGGAGACCCGGGATCGAATCCCACGTCGAGCTCCCGGTGCATGGAGCCTGTTTCTCCCTCTGCCTGTGTCTCTGCCTCTCTCTGTGTGTGTGTGTGTGTGACTATCATAAATAAATAAAAAATTTAAAAAAAAATAAATTGCTAGGGTCTGAGGTACCAAACCCAGGGTCCAGTCTTTCCCAGGCCCACAATCTGGCCCTAATTGTTCACCAAGCAAATGGAATTGAGATCTTAAGAGCAGAGCTACCCCAGTTCTAGTGCTGTAAAGGGATTTCTCCCCTTCTCTGACTCAGGCACTGATCAGCTTCACAGGCTTAGCCACACATTTAGTGTCCAGAGCTGTGTGTAGTTGGCTCCTTTTCATTCAGGTTCCGCCTTAAATTTGTTTCTCCCTCCTGCCTTCTCTCACAGCTCAGCAACACTAACCCAACTTCTGTTTTAATGATAGTAAGTACCAGTTTTTTACTGTTGATCTTTCCCATTACAGTGGCAGCTCCATGAAAGCAGGAGCTGTTTGTCTCAATAACTACTATTTTCCCAGTGCCTGGCACCTAGTAGGGGCTTGACGAATGCTGGTTGAAAGGCTGGCTCTCTGTTTCAGCTTTCTGGGCGCTGCTCAAGTGGTCTGTGAGTCTTCTCCCAGCTGCAGGAATCTTGTTTCTGACTCAGACCATGGAGAATTATTACCATTAAGACTTTGGAGATTAGGAGAACTTTGGCTTCAGAGCCAAACGTTTTCCCAACAGGAAATGGTAAAATTTTAGTTATGACCTCATGTCCCAATCCTCACTTGTCTCATTTAGGAAGAAACTTCAGGGATAAAATAAGTAAGAACTCAGCATCTACAAATATGTGAATAAGAACTCCGGTTACACCTCAGCTCCACATCTCTCATTTTGCTCTTTGGTCTTGATTCTCAGCATACCCTTGTCATCCCAAGCCACTCAGGCTTTCCCTCAAATTATGCTGCTTTTTGTTCCTGAGGACAACTTCAGGTTTTGTGTCAGCCTATCTTAGTAATGAAAAGTGGGCACAGCCAGTGTGTCCATTGCTTGCTTTTGCTTTTTTTTTTAAAAAAAAAATTTATTCATGAGAGACACACAGAGGCAGAGACGTAGGTAGAGGGAGAAGCGGGTTCCCTGTGGGGAGCCGGATGAGGGACTCGATCCCAGGACCCTGGGATGACACCCTGAGCCAAGGGCAGACACTCAACCACTGAGCCACGCAGGCATCCCTTGCCTTTGTATTTTTAAACTAGGTGGGGACCTACTGGGCAGGAGGTACATGAAGGGGAGAGGAGTCCAGAAAAGACATCGCCCTGTTTCTACCACCACTGGAGTTGCTGTTTGACATGGTGTTATCTTCAAACAGCTCTGGCTTACTGTCTTTTCCGTTCCAATCTGTTCTTTTGGCTAGGACCCTTAACCATCAATCTGACAGTAAAATAGCCCCAGATCCTGTTTGAGTAGAATTTGTTGGGTTTTTTAAAAAGATTTTTTCTATTGGGCAGCCCATGTGGCTCAGCGGTTTAGCGCCGCCTTCAGCCCAGGGTGTGGTCCTGGAGACCCGGGGTCGAGTCCCGAGTCAGGCTCCCTGCGTGGAGCCTGCTTCTCCCTCTGCCTGTGTCTGTCTCTCATGAATAAATAAGATCTTTTTTTAAAAAATCCGCTTATTCCACGCTTTTATTTCTTTTTTTAAGATTTTACTTATTCATGAAAGAGAGAGAGGCAGAGACACAGGCAGAGGGAGAAGCAGGCTCCATGCAGGGAGCCCAACGTGGGACTCAATCATAGGTCTCCAGGATCACGCCCTGGGCTGAAGGCGGCGCTAAACCGCTGAACCACCCGGGCTGCCCTATTCCACGCTTTTAAAAGAAAGTATTCCTAATTTTTAGTGAGTGATTCACATAGTCGCCCCTGTCTCTCTGGGCCTTGTACGTTATTCTTGTGTATACATAAAGTGCCATTAGGGACTGGAGTGAGTAGAATTTAAGGGGTGGAGCCTCCATCCTGTGCCGGAAGCTACTGTCCCTTAGAGCGCTTGCGTGGTTTTCCCACGCCCTGGGAAGGATTCCTATCCATTCGCTCTGCGCTTGGCAACTCTTCCTGACAGCGGGCGGCCATCTTGTCTGGAGCCTGAGAGAGGAAGAAGACAGAAGGAAAGGGCGACACTGGTCTCAGAGCCGCCCCGGGGACCTCAAGAGCCGGAGGCAACCCCGGAGGTGGTCTCTGATCCCGGGCCCTGCTCTTGAACCCGAGAAGGGAAGGCGGGGGGCGGGGGGAAAGAAGATGGATGGGAAATGCCTAGAAAGATTGCTAGGCGGGAGGAGGGGTGTCGCTATGGTGACCGGGGGGTGGGGTGGGATGAGATCTGAATCGCTGTTGTCAGTCTTCCGGGAGCTGCCCGGGAAGGGCAGGGCTGGGGTGATGACCATGCTAACTGCTGGGTATTTTTCGCGACATCCGGGCGTCGAGGGACTCGGTGTCTACGGCAACGATCATCCGGCGGAAGGGGCGGAACTAAATCCCTTCACTTGAAACGCTGACATTCCAGGCCCTTATCCTGCAGGCTCCCGCGGGCGGATACGCCAGAAGAGGAGGTCGGGGAATGGCCGCGGTGTGGCAGCAGGTCTTAGCAGTAGACGCGAGGTGAGGAATGGGGTCGAAGCCCATGGGAGCGGGTTACTGCGGTGCATGCGCAATGGCGTTAAGTGAGACTGGGCGGAGAACTTGCCTTATGCGGCTGCGTGGGCATACTGAAAGTGAGCATGCGCTGTAGCAGGGTGTGGTGGCTTGCCCGCAGAGAAGGGCTGGCCAGACGGTCAGAAAGAGCATGCTTGGAAAATGCAGTCAGGTTTGGGCATGCATGCGTAAAGAGGCTGTGCTGCCAGAGCCTTTGGGAAGGGGTGATGGAGCTCAGGCTGGTGACTTCCTATTCCCCACCATTGCCCCCACACCATCCCGCAGACTTCTCTTAACCACCATCACTTCCCCAATCTGACCCCATCACCATCCCGGACTGACTTCCAGCATTGCCCCACACTAACCCCCATCACCATGTCACGCTGACTTACTGTTGTCAGCAATGATTCAGTCACCCTATACCAACCCCAGCAAAGCTGCAGATGGCCTCCATTGTCCCCACAGTGACCTCATCCGCCATTCCCTTTATTACTGTAGACCCACCCTCATCACAGCGTCAGAGGGACCCCCATCATCACTGCTGATCACTTGCCATCCTGACCCCTCACACCCACACCCCTCATTCTCTTTCCCTGTCCCCTGAGCTGATTGATTCCCTCTATCCTGTGCCTGCTGCCCGCCCTGCCTCCTGCCATCACAGGTACAACGCGTACCGCACACCAACGTTTCCACAGTTTCGGACACAGTATATCCGTCGGCGCAGCCAGCTATTACGGGAGAATGCCAAGGCTGGGCACCCCCCAGCACTGCGTCGGCAATACCTGAGGCTGCGTGGGCAGCTTTTGGGCCAGCGATACGGGCCCCTCTCCGAACCAGGCAGTGCCCGCGCCTATAGCAACAGCATCGTTCGCAGCAGCCGCACTACCCTAGACCGCATGGAGGTGAGCTCCTCCCCACATTGCCTGCCGTGCACACCACCTGCCTCCATATGCATTCCCTTAGCAGACTTGTCAGGCACCTGTTGTGTGCAAGGTACTGATCCAGCTCTTAGGATGAGCAGAGGGTAAAAAGAGATAACACATGATAAGTCAATAAGTGGACAACAAGCAAGATAAACACATGTAAACAGGCAATAAACAAAATAGGTCAGTAGACATACGAAACCAGACAGACAAGTCAATAGTTAACATGGCTTATAGTGAGGATGGCTAAGATGGAAAAGTAAAACTGACTTGGGGGATAAAGTGAGACTCAGATGGGGGACAGAGGGATGCTCTTTCTAATGGGGATGATCGTGAAAGGTCTCTTGGAGGAGGTGACAGTTGAGCTGGAACTTGAATGAAGCAAGAGACTCTGCTGAGTGGTTTTCTGGGGGAAAGTGTCCATTCTTTCTTCACAGAACATTTACTGATTATCCACTAAGTGGAGCAAGGGACCAAGCAGGGGAGCTAGTGTAGAGGCAACCGCAGTAGCCCCGGCCTTGGTGGCAGCTGCGGTGGGTAGGGTGAGAAGGGATCTGGTTCTGGGTATATTTCTAAGACTCCAGACTTCATAGATTCTTGAAGGCTTGTTTCAAGATGTGCCCACCCTGGCTCTCTGTTTGCAGGACTTTGAGGATGATCCTCGGGCCCTGGGGGCCCGTGGGCACCGCCGTTCTGTCAGCCGAGGCTCCTACCAACTACAGGCACAGATGAACCGTGCTGTCTATGAGGACAGGTATGCAGCGGGGGCAGCTGCAAGCTGGGGGTTTGTGAGGGGAAGAGGGACCATTGGGCAACAGCAGACTGAATGCTAGCACCTACCTCCTGTTTATCCCCTGCTCTTGTTGGGGCCCAGGCCACCTGGCAGCGTGGTACCCACATCAGTAGCAGAAGCAAGTCGAGCCATGGCTGGGGACACATCACTGAGCGAGAACTACGCCTTTGCAGGCATGTACCATGTTTTCGACCAGCACGTGGATGAGGCAGGTAAGCCAGCAGGTAGCGGGTCCCATCACCACTCAGTTGCCTAAACTGTGACCACTACTCAGCGTATCTTTCTCTGGAACACAGAGTCTCTGGCCCACCTCTGAAGAAGTTACCATCCATAAACCTTTCCACAAACCTACAAGCCCTCTGCAAAGTAAAGTGGTCTGCAAAATCTCAAGCACTTTGTCTGTTTTAAAAGGGCTCAGTAACTTAAAAGAGGACTTTGCAGAAGGTCTCTGAGGTTATGAGTTGCTTGGAAGAGTTCAAAGCCTTTGGTGGAGACTTTTGGCAGAGGGCCTTCTAGGGTTCCAGCTCCCTTTCTCAGCCAAGCAAAACCCTTTGCTGAAGCCATTGTGCTTGGTGCAGTGGGTCTCCGCCCCCAGCCCTGTGTCAGAACCTTTTATAAACGAAAGCACCTGGGGAGTGTGCCGAGTCCCACAAATAGCTTCTTGGCATTGCAGTCCCAAGGGTGCGCTTCGCCAATGATGACCGGCACCGCCTGGCCTGCTGCTCACTCGACGGCAGCATCTCTCTGTGTCAGCTGGTGCCTGCCCCGCCCACCGTTCTCCGTGTTCTGCGGGGCCATACCCGCGGTGTCTCCGACTTCGCCTGGTCCCTCTCCAATGACATCCTCGTGTCCACCTCGCTTGATGCTACCATGCGTATCTGGGCCTCTGAGGATGGCCGCTGCATCCGGGAGATTCCTGACCCAGACGGTGCCGAATTGCTCTGCTGCACCTTCCAGCCAGTCAACAACAACCTCACTGTGGTCAGGCTTCAGGGTGCCTGCTCGCCGAGGGTGGGGCTGCTGGGCCAGGAGAGCTGTCCTCGGGAGTCAGTGTGGGTGGCAAGGGGGTGTCCCCTCTAGTCCATCACCATAGTCCTCCTGTGGTCAGACTCAGAGGGACAGGTCTGGGCAGAACAATGACACACAGGTGTTGGTGTGGGGTAACCTTGCTGTGACAGACTCCAAGGGGGTACTGGTCAGGAGGCAGAGTCCCAGCTCTGGTACCCCTTCAGTCTTATCAACAGCAGTGCAGCCACTTTACAACCACCAGAGCTGCTGGCTGCGGGGCAGGCTTACTAGTCAGAAGGCTTGTTTCCAAAAAAAAAAAAAAAAAAGAAGGCTTTTTTCCTCCCAGTGGCACAGCTCCACTGTGATCCAACCCCAGGATTGAGAATGAGAGGGCAGGGGAAGGAAGTGAAAATTTGGCCTGGCCTCAAGGGGCAGAGAGGGGACCGGCTGAGTGAGCCTGTGCTCTGGGATCCCTTCAGCTGCAGCATCAGCCCCAGTGTAGTCAGGTCTCCAGCAAGGGCCAATCTGGAAGCAGGCCAGCTATTATTACCAGGTCACTATGGCCCTGTAGTTTGCCTGTCACGGTGGTGGTGGTGGGAGTGCTGGCTAAGGAGCAGTGGGCTGGCTGTCCTGGTTAGATTGCAAGGGGCTGGCTCTGAAGGTTCGCAGGCCCCGGTCACCTCCCAGTCTACCTGCCACAGGCCTACTGGGATTAGACTCCTGTAGGAACCAGCCAGTTCCGTCGACAGCAGCTCCATTATGGTCAGACTCAAGGAGGGACTGGCTGGATAATGGTATGTGCGGGTCTCACCCACAGGTGGGGAATGCCAAGCAGAACGTGCATGTCATGAACATCTCCACAGGCAAGAAAGTGAAGGGTGGCTCCAGCAAGCTGACAGGCCGGGTCCTTGCTCTGTCCTTTGACGCCCCTGGCCGGCTGCTCTGGGCAGGCGATGACCGTGGCAGTGTTTTCTCCTTCCTCTTCGACATGGCCACAGGTAGGCAGGCCTGAGGCCTGCATCTGGGTGTTCACACTGCCACCATCCCGGCACACAGCTGTGTCCCCCCGCCTTGACTTTTGCCTCCTCTCCCTCCATTGTTGCAGGAAAACTGACCAAAGCCAAGCGTCTGGTGGTGCATGAGGGTAGCCCTGTGACCAGCATCTCTGCCCGCTCCTGGGTCAGCCGCGAGGCCCGGGACCCCTCGCTGCTCATCAATGCTTGCCTCAACAAGCTGCTGCTCTACAGGTGGGTCTTCCCTGTCCAGGCCACCTCCATCAGACTGGGATGTGAGCACTGTCTGCTTGGCAGAGGAAAACAGGCATCCGGTTAGTTGGAGTGAACAAGGAGTTGAGTCTTCATATGATAATGACAGTATCAGTGGGAGGAGGAGTAGCAGAAGTGCTAGTGCTAGCATAGCAGTTGCCGGCCCCAGGCCCTGTTGAGGTGCCTCATACATAGCACTCCCTTTTCTCCTCGAGACAGCCCTGTAAGGAGGGTGCTCTTACCATGCCCATTTTACAGATGAGCAACCTGAGCCAGAAACTAGACTAGGGTCCCCTGAGAGCAGTGGTCTGTACCCCTCCCTCCCTTCCTTCCTTCCTTCCTTTCGTTTTCGTTTTCTTTTTTTTTTTTTTGAGCGGAGGAGTTTACTGTCCTTGCTCACATATGACATGTTACCCAAGTGCAGTTCTCAGCCTGGGCTGCATGCCGGAATGACCTGAAGGGCTTCACACAATCATGACCAGGCCCCACTGTAGGCCAGTGATTTTGGAAGCTCTGCGGCAGGACTGAGCGCACTGGTCTATTGAAAGGTTCCCTTAAGTACTGTCCAGCTGGGTGGGCCTGAAAACCACTGCCTGGCAGGATGATTTCTGTTTTACTATTTTGTGTTTTGACTCTTTAAAAAAAAGAAAATCACGTACACACATACATGTATCTGTAATTCTAAATTTAGATGTAGCCCCAAATTTGGGACTCATTTCCCCATCCTCCCCCTTCCCCACCTTTCTCTTCCTACCACCTTGGCCGCCCCCCTGCCGCAGTAAAACCTGTTAACAACTCTGTACTACCTTCCTATATCTTGTTCTCTACCCTGTAACCCTAAGCGTGCATACCCACACCTCCCCTTTTGGAGGGAGGGTCATTGTTTTACAGAGGTGGGCTCCTTTTACATCCTTCACATCTCGCTTTCTTTACCAGATGATGACAGTGGAAGTGCCCCCAAGTCCCCTGCAGTGCTATTGGTTCATTGGTTCTTTTGTGGGGTTTTATTTAGGTTTTATTTATTTATTTGAGAGAAAGAGAGCATGAGAAAAAGTGCATGCACGAGCAGGGGGAGAGGGAGATGGAGAAGCAGACTCTGCTGAGTAGGGAGCCAGGATGCAGGGCTCAATCCCATAACCCTGGGATCAGGACCTGAGCCTAAGACAGATGCCCAACCAACTGAGCCACCCAGGGCCCCCACTCTGTTTGTCTTTTGGGTGGACTTATATTCCACAGCACAGAGGAGTCCAGTTTGGTCATCCCTTTCCTCTCCTTGTGCCCTGTCTTCACACCAAGATCTCTTGAAGAGCCCTAGAAAGAGAAACTAGTGAATCCCACTGCCGAGGCTTCCAATTTCCACCAGTGGGCAGTTTCCAGACTGTCACGAACTCACGTGTCAGCCTATGCTTTATAGGAATATGCAGCTGTCTCAAAACTGGATTCTGTGGACCTTCAAATGAACCTAGGTGCAAGGGTCAGGACACAGAGCCGCCCCCCGTCCATCATCGTCTGGAGCTGAGGCACCGCCCTGACCCACTCTCATCCTCCCCTCAGGGTGGTGGACAACGAGGGGACCCTGCAGCTGAAGAGAAGCTTCCCCATTGAGCAGAGCTCACACCCTGTGCGCAGCATCTTCTGCCCCCTCATGTCCTTCCGCCAAGGGGCCTGTGTGGGTGAGTCCCACAGAGTTAGGGTGTCTGGGTGGCTCGAGAGGGGCAGGGCCCAGGGCTGTTGCTGATCCAGCCCAGACACCACGACCCCATGATGCCCAGACTTTAAGGGCCTCGAGAACTCCCATATTCCAACAGCCTCCCACTTTGAACAAAGGCCCCGAAGAGTCCAGAAACCTCACAATGTGAGACACAACCCCACCCCCCAGACAGCTCAGAGGCCTCACACCCGGCACACAGGGCTCAAATTGCTAAGGTGAGCCCTAAAATGCCTAGGGACCACCACCCCCTGAGACCTCCCCAAACCATGCCAGGACTTCACAGCCAGGGCCCCTGACTTCCTCTGGCAACACCTCCCAAGGGCCTCTCTCTTTCTCTCTCTGTCTCTGTCATCCGGGCAGTGACCGGCAGCGAGGACATGTGCGTGCATTTCTTCGATGTGGAGCGGGCAGCCAAGGCTGCCGTCAACAAGCTGCAGGGCCACAGTGCACCTGTGCTGGATGTCAGCTTCAACTGTGATGAGAGCCTGCTGGCTTCCAGTGACGCCAGTGGCATGGTCATCGTCTGGAGGCGGGAGCAGAAGTAGGTCCTGCCGTGTCCATCTTCCCACCCACCTCCTGTTCCAGCCTTGTGTTTGTAAATAAAGTTCCTGTGGTTGTGCCCATGGCTGGCTCCCAGGTCTGCTGGGGGTGGGATCAGGGGTAGCTCTAGGATCCGAGTTGGAATGGGGTTCACTTCCTCATTGATGCATACAGCCATTGATTGCTTCACTTAGCAATCATTGGTTGTTTACTGCATCGTAGGCCCCCTGTAGGTGTTTTACTCATTCATGCATTGGACAAATGTGATTGAGCGCCCACTGTGTGCCAAGAACTGTTCTAGGCACTGACAGAAGAGCCTGCCTTCCTAGGGCTTGCATTCTATGCAGGTAGACAGCAGACAAAAACATATCTTGGTCAGCCAGAGATCAGCGTTGTGAGGAAAAATAAGGTGAAGACAGGAGGTAGAGGTGCAAGAGTGGGCAGTTCCACACTTTTTGGTACTGCAGTCAGGGAAGACATTCCTCATGGTGAAATTTAAACAAAGACCTGAATGAAGTGAGAGGGAGTTGTGGTGTATGGGAGAGAACGTTCTAGGCAGAGAGGAAAGGCAGTGCAAAGGCACTGAGGCTGGAGTGTGCCAAAAGTGTTGTTGAAGAGGCCAGTGTGGCTGGACCAGAGTGTGGCGGGAGGTTGGAGAGGCCTGATCCTGGAGGGATTCGTGGCCACAGTGAGGACTTGGACTTTTCTGAGTGACCTGTGAGTTGCCCAATTGAGCAAAGGAGGAAGGACACAATCCAGTTTGGTTGTAAGAGGACCCCTCTGGGTGCTGTGAAGAGAACAGACTTGGGGGTGGGGCCATCAGGAGGCCCTGCAGTAGTCAAAGTGAGCAGTGATACGGACTTGTGCCAGGGTAGTGGCAGTGGGGGAGTTGAAGGGGAATGTTGGCTTCTACCACAGGGGTTTCATGCTGCTAGTCTGCAGTGCTCTGCTGGCTTCCTCAGGAAGGCTGAGGTCCCAGCTCCCCCCAACCCCATGCTCTAAGGCTCTTCCCCACAAACAGGGTACAGACATGTTGAGGATGTGGAGTATGAAGCCCATGCAGAAACAACCATGGACCCCAAGGTTGAGCTAGTGGCTCCTGCTGGTGGGGGTGGGGAAGGAAGATAGATTCTCCATCCCAAGGGAAACCCCAGACCACCCCTAGCTCCTTCCATATTCCCTCAGGGCCCAAATTCAAGGCCTGGAATAGCTCAGAGTCTGTAAAGTGATGTTCAAATTTGAGGGGAGCCCCAAGTGAGGAGAGAAAGCTTGGGATATAGCCAGGGAGCTAGAGAACCAAAATCCCTTGTGGATGACCTGAGTCACTAGGAAGCGTCAAAGTTGCCAGAAATGGCAAGGATGCTCTCGCTCCTCCCTCCCCTCCAGCTCCTCCCTCTCTCCCCTCCAGCTGCATAGGCTGCCATATCCAGATGCATAATGAGAACTGTGGCTACCAGTTTGAGACCTCAAGGTCAGTCCACAGAGCCACAGGCATTGCACCCTGGCCCAGTATTATTGTGCTACCAAACGAACACTAGCAGTGTTGTTGGAGGAGGAAAAATAACTGGTTTGTTCAAGCCACTGTTATTTTGACAGTGTGGTTACTTACAGACAGAAGCATTTCTAAACTGTACTTCCATCTGACCTTAATGTAAATACCAGAGAGCTGGACATTCATGATGCAGTTCATGCTTCAGAGGTTTCACAGACCACCCAAACTCCATGATTTGCTGGGAGGACTCTTGGTCTCAGCATACAGTTGTATACGTAGTTATGATTTTTTCCAGCAAAAAGGTACAGAACACAATCGGCAAAGGGATATGGTACCCGGGGCAAAGTCCCAGGGAGACCAGGTACAAGCTTCTAAGGATTCTCTCCCAGTGGAGTCACAGGACATGCTTGATTCCCCCATCATGGCTCCTGACAGCCCAGAGTAGCTCATTATCAGAGGTTGAATGCCTAGGGTTTTCACTAGGGGCTGGTCACATAGCCGCCCCCCCCCCAACCTGGTGCATACTCAGCTTCCAGACTGTCCAGGAAGGAGAGCAGATGTTCAGCATAAACCAGAGTGCTTGTGTGAACTGCTGAGGCGCAGTGAGACACTCCTGATTTAGAGGATGGTGAGAACCCTCGTGAAATCTTAAGTGTCCAGATGCCAGCCAAGGACCATCCTTGAAGCAGGCCTTTCCAAGGAGAGAAGTTCAGGCCTGCTGGGTTAACTCTTTCTGCACACGATGCAATACCGAAAAGGTGCTCGGTTTCAGCCAAGGTCAGTGGATGGGCAAGATCGCTTGGAGGAACCTCGTTTTTCTCTAGCACCTTCATTTCTTCACATTCTTCATGTTGTTTATTGAATCTGGATTCAAGAGGGCTAATTGTGGATGTCATATGTCATTTGGGGGTTTCTTTCTCAGGAAATTTTGAGGTGGCAGAGTTGACATTCTGCTTTGCTTTATTTTTTTGAAGTAACTCTGTGCCCAATGTCGGGCTTGAACTCAGGACTCCCAGATCAAGAGTCACATGTGACTGAGCCAGCCAGGCACTCCCCAACATTCTGCTTTAAATTCATTTTCATGATACCTTTTCTTGACTTATAACTACGAGGAAATAAGTAATGAGCAAACAATGAAAAGATAATCCTATTGGTCAGATTTGGGTCTCTGTTAACTTGTCCATCATCACTGTGCCTCCAGTTTGACATCTACTGGAACTCTTACCATTCTGCCGTCAGTGCTGCACTAGCCTTGCCTCAAATCCAGGCCTCCACTAACTATTCTGTTAGTGGGGTTTAACTTTGAACCCCTGTGTTTGCTCCGAGAGCCTCTCCAGTCTGAGCTTGAAGCAGAGCCTTTGTTAGTTATTACCTCATCAGTGTACCACCGGTTCAGTATCAAACCAGGGTTCCTGTATAATGTTCCACCAGCTGTTGTCTCCTGATCTGACCTTGAATTTGGGATTCTGTTAATTTGTGATCAGTGCCGCTTTGCTTCAGCAAGAATTCCAACCAATCTTTGAGGACCCTTGGTCCTGACCTTGAGTCTGGGCCTCTGTTAGTTATTATACCATGAATCCCTGTGTGGCCCAAACTTCCACCCAGGCCTCAGCTAACTAACTATTCTACCATCACTGTCTCTTATCTGACCTCAAGTCTGGGCATCTCTTAACGTTTCCTCCACCAGTGCCTCACTGGTGTGACGCATACCTGGCTACTTTTAACTTTACCACCATTGGCATCCACCTGGTCTACCCTCAGACCTGGGCTTCTGTTAATGTTTGCACCATCAAGACCCCTGGTTTTCCTTTGAACTCGAGTCTTTTTAACTCTTCCACCATCAGGGCTATAGCAGTTTAAACTCCAGCCTGAAACTATTTATAATTCCACCATCAGTAAGTCTTTGCCCTTGAATCCAAGCTTCAGGTAACTCATTACCAATGCACCTTGGGCCTGAAACCTGAGTGTCTGCAAACTTTTCCACACTCAGTGCTCCTCTGGCTTGACCCCAAGAAACTATTCCATTCTCTACTGCTATGATCTCACTTCAAACCGTAGCCTCTATTTACTATTTTTCTATAATTGCTTCTTTGATCTGACCTTGAACTTAGGACACTGGTAAGACTTGTAGCACACAGACCTCAGAACCTGTGTGCCTGCGAACTATTCCATTATCATTCCTCTTCTAATCTCATTTTGAACCTGAGCTGCTGCAAACTATTCCACTATCAGTACCCCTCCAATCCTATTTGGAATTGAAATTCTGCTGACTATTCTTTGGTCCAACTGAGTCTGGGCCTCTGATTAATACCCACTGTTGCTGGCTTTTTGCTCTGACTGGGCCTTTTTTTAAAAAAAAATATTTTTATTTATTTATTCATAAGAGACACACAAAGAGAGAGGCAGAGACATAGGCAGAGGGAGGAAAAACAGGTTCCATGCAGGGAGCCCAATGTGAGACTTGATGCCAGGACTCCAGGATCATGCCCTGAGCTGAAGGCAGACACTTAACTGCTGAGCCATCCAGGCGTCTCATGACTGGGCCTTTTTGAACTCTAGAACCATCAAGGCATGTCCAATCTGACTTCAAATCCAGACTCTTAGCTTTTACTCCATCAAGACCTCCATCTTTTTTAAAGATTTTATTTCTTTTTTTTTAAGATTTTATTTATTTATTCACGACAGACACACAGAGAGAGGCAGAGACACAGAGGGAGAAGCAGGCTAAGATTTTATTTCTTTAAAGTAATCTTTATGGGGCACCTGGGTGGCTCAGTGGTTGAGTGTCTACCTTCAGCTCAGGGTGTGATCCTGAAATTCCCAAGTCCGGCATCGGGCTCCCCACAGGGAGCCTGCTTCTCCCTCTGCCTGTGTCTCTGCCTCTTTCTGTGTGTCTCTCATGAATAAATAAAATCTTTTAAAATAAAGTAATCTTTACATCCATCATGGGGCTCAAACTTAACAACCCCGAGGTCAAGAGTTGCTTGCTCTGCTGACTGAGCCAGACAGGTGCCCCAAGACCACCTTTGATCTAAATTCTCACATGGAAAATAAAATAAAATAAATTCTCACATGGGTGTCTCTTAACTAATCCAACATGACAGGCTTCTCAATCAACCAAAACCCAGAGGTTTTTTTTTTTCTTTTTAAAGATTTTATTTATTCATGAGAGACACAGAGAGAAGCCAGAAACATAGGCAGAGGGGAAAAACAGGCTCCCTGCTGGGAGCCTGATGTGGGACTCAATCCCGGAATTCGAGGATTACGCCCTGAGTTGAAGGCAGACATTCAACCACTGAGTCACCCAGGCATCCCAAAACCCAGAGCTTTTATAAGCTATTCCATTACTGGGGCCTATCTGCCCTGACCTCAAATACAGACCTCCATAAACTGTTCCATTATCATCAGCCCTCAAAATTGAGGCCCTGATCTGGTTTGAACTATTCCAAGGTCCCCACCTCTCTGGTGTGACCTTCTCTATTAATGATTCCACCATCAATCCCCATTTGGTCTGCCTTAATAACAAGAGTCTCTTTCAAGTATCCTACGATCACTGCTCCTCTTGCATGACCTTGAACCCAAGCTTTCCTT